ACCACCTCTTCCCTCAACTTCGAGATCTCGTGCTTCATGTCCACCAACTCTTGTCTCACATCCATGCCATTCATCTGAACGGTTGCCTCGAGTTTCTCGACACCACTGCTCGCCATCTGAAGCTCGCATTTAATTGAAGACAATTCTGTGGTATTCTTCTCAACCGATTCCTTCACTTCTCGCAATTCGCTGATGAAATTGGTCTCAACGGCAGAGATCTTATCCCTGATGTCAACGGCAGTGGCGGCCAATTGACTCGTATCGACGGCGCTCTTGTCAAACGACTTCATGTATTCGTCGCAAAAGATCTTCAACTCATCCCTCAGTTTGAAGACATGCGAGACGTGCTGTTCACTCGACGCCATCATTAGAGCCGTGTTTTTGACCACCGATTGCAAGAGCGACGTCTTCATCGTATCGCATATCTGCTGCAGAAGTCGACAGACAGTGCCCTCAGTGTCCACGTGCGCCACCACTCGCTCCAGAAGGTGACCGGAGTCACGGATTTTGTTGGAGATATCGTTGAGCACATCGACGATCGTCTCCTGTCTGTCATTATCTATGGATTCAAAGCGTCTGTTGATTCGCAGCAAAAGACTCGCGTTTTGTATGGCATTGAATGAGTAGTGAGTGGACAGCACACCATTCCTCAGCCTCTTGTGCCGCTGATCGTCGGCAACTAATGCCGTGATCTGTGGCGAGGCGTATGAACAGAGGGTACCGGAGCTGATGTGACGGCCATCCGCGGCATCGCAGTATCGGACACTTGTCCGCAGTCTCTGCGTCTGAGACCTGTTGTCCACTAATTGCGATAATAATGGCATCGCTTGTGGTCACGGATTGCGAGATGAAAATCAGTGACAATTGGTTTGCATTCAAATGAAATGAATAATTGTTTGATAACTCAGTAATGCTTTCGTTTGCATTCAATTCAACCAAATGTGACGAATAGTGCTATTATTGGACACAAGTGTCTGATTCTGTGATCATATGTGTCAACACGAGTCCCACAGATAAGGGGATTATTTTCAGTGATTATCATTTCACACCCAATAGTACAACATATGAGGCTTAAAATCACAAATCTCACAATTAGTTAAATTTAATATTTTTCTGAGTACCTTATATTTCAAATAGTACAAGCTCAAATAGTGTTTGTATAGCATTAGTTCCCTTTATATTTAAGCCTATTTTAAAATGAAGTAAAATTTTTGATTTTAATATTAATATGTATTTATTAATCATTACATGTCATTATAAAAATATTGATAAATTCATGAATCATGAGTAAGGTCTTTTATTTAATAAATAGTGTTAACGTTGTTTTCTTATAAATTATAACTGTGGAGCAAAGCCTGAATTTTACCCTGAACATTCATTAATTATTTAGACTTTAAACTTATGTGTATATATGAATGCATTACTACAAATATACAAATTATTTTAGTTATTAAAAGTTTAATCATTTTGTATATAAAATATTAACATATTTTGAATCATTGAATTGTTTAGATATATAAAATCATTATTTATCATAAACTTTTATAAACTGGTTATTTTTATTAATTTATATTTCATTATAAAATTCATAAACTTCTAAAAACTAAAATGATTAATTTATTTGCGTTAAAACATTCATATTTATATGAGTATATTGTCTATATATCTAATGTATAACATTTTGCAATTTATGTAACATAATATAACTCATAATGGAAACTAATTAGATTATATTATTCTCGCAAATATGACATTTAAAATTTATAAAATACAAATTCGTTGCGAAAATGAATAATTTTAAAAATAAATACTTTTTCAAACAATAGATAAATCGCGAGTTATTGAGTAGTTTTCAAATATATTTCAAAAGTTATCTTTTGACAGAAATAAGTNGCGAGCTTCAGATGGCGAGCAGTGGTGTCGAGAAACTCGAGGCAACCGTTCAGATGAATGGCATGGATGTGAGACAAGAGTTGGTGGACATGAAGCACGAGATCTCGAAGTTGAGGGAAGAGGTGGTAGCCCTCAAAGAAGCCATCATTGAGGTATTACCTCTTAAACTGGTTGAGGCTTTCCAGGCTATGAATGCCGACACATCGGGTCGTTCATCGCATTTGGCATCAGATGTTGAAGTGGTTGACGACGAAGAGACCATTGATTATCATCTCAGCGATAGCTCAGTGAATACTGAAGAGTCGAAAGAATATTCTGGGGATTCCAGTAGTTCTAGTGGTTAAGTGTTGATCATTTCGTGATTTTTATTTGATTTTGTGTCTAAATATTTTGATCACTATTTTATAATTCTATTAACATTTGTTTACATTTTTAAATTATATTATTTAATTGTTTTTAAATTACTTTATTTTGTCATTTCTTATCAAAACTAATGATGATTTGATCCAATGTTTAAATAATCATAACTATCCTGATTATACATTACAGTATGTATGCTCTGCTCTTATGCATTATTTTATAAACAAATATATTAACAAAATTAATATCATTTTAGAATTTTATAAAACAAATCATATGTTTAAATAAATAAATGAAAATCCAAATTATGTTTCGCAAAAAAAGTTATTAAAAATTTAGTCTTTATTTAAATAATGGATTACATAATGAAGGAGAAGATCGTAAAATTTTATAAAACAAATCATATGTTTAAATAAATAAATGAAAATCCAAATTATGTTTCGCAAAAAAAGTTATTAAAAATTTAGTCTTTATTTAAATAATGGATTACATAATGAAGGAGAAGATCGTAACAGTATTTGTATTCAGTCTGAAATCAAATGACAAAAAACACTTAAATTAGAAAACATTTCCCAATTTGTAAATCAGTTTATATTACACTCTCGACGAGCTGTGGTCGGTGCCGCCTAACAGTGCGAACGGCGTTGAAAATATCGACCTCCCGGTGCTGCACCACTTGCTCCATGGCCACGTTGGCCGCGCAATACACACCCGCCCGGGCCTTACCATTGCTACACGACAGGGAAACATGACATTCAGTATATTACCACTTAATGACACATAAACCACGATCTGGTCTTACTATGAGACGACAACTACTGGTCCATAATTGCTTCGCTGTCTCCAGCGCTCAACCATATTCATGAGCTCGACCAACGCGTTCGTAGAGGTGGGCACCTTATGCTCGGGCGGCCAACACAGGATCTGAAA